CACTATATGGAATATCTGATTGATTTTGACGATTTTTTTATGTAAATCCAAAAGTATTTAATATTTTTAGGAATACTGTCTTCTACTGATTTCATATATTTGTTATAACAAAACAATGATTTTTTCCTAAACCTATACCGATACATTGAAAATGGAGATTTGTTTTTATATACTTTCCACTTAATCCAAGCTATGTTTTTATTCTTAAATATGTGTATCAATGCAGGGGTAAACCATACTGGAAATTTTGAGTTGGAATCCCGTTTAGAGGGAACGTGTTTACATATAAGATCAAATATATTTTCATAGAAAACGTTAACACTTTCTTCGGCAGTTTTATTTTGAAATAGTTCACACCAATTAATTTCTAATATATTGTTATTGATTTGTTTATAATTAGCATTCTTGTAACAATATCTTGGATTCGTTTGCATGGGTTTGGATAAGTTATTATCAATTGGTGTTAAGAGGTAATAAGGAGGATGATGTACGTCAGGTGGGACTAGAGTGATAAGCGCAAAAAGGTTTTACTGTTGTGTACATTAGTTAGGCATAAATCGAGTAACCTATTCATATTATTTTTAAAAATATTCACTTGTATACAGTCCATGACGGACATGAAATTTACTAAGTGAGAATATGGTGGCGTAATATTGCTTAAACCTAGAAGTTTTGCTTGAGTTCCATCTAGATACCAGTCAAGACAAGGCAAATTGAAATCGCCAATTAAATAATAGTTATCATATCCATTTAACTATATAATCTCTTGTAGTTTATTAAAATAAGTAAAATATATATCAGAATCTAGACCGGGTGGTATGTAATTCGCGCTTAATAAATAATGAAACTTACCGATGCGAAATTCTAATAGAATATGATCTATGATAGGTGGGATATCGAGGGGGACAGCGGGGAGTGCGGGCACGCAGCGCACTGCACACAGCGAGGGCATCACATCCACCAACACACCGCCATCATCGTGACGCTTTGTTACAGTGCGATCTCGGTCGCAACGGAACACGTTGTAGCGAGAATCCACAAATTCATTGTTTACAATGCAATCATGTAACCAAGTCTCGGTTAATATTATAACATCATAATTATGCGATTATACTATATTCATGTAAATAGTATTTAATTTAGTTCTCTAACCGCTGCAATTTTGATAAAAGACTGATAATACATTGTTATTTATGTTATTGAATTTTGTATCGAAAAATATATGGTATTGCATACAAATCGTTAGAGCCACAGTGGGTACAGAGTAGGATATTCAGTATAAATGCACACGTTGAATTGTAGGAACATGGACTTTGTTTCTTAATTAATTTAAATATCGGTAACAAAAACAGATAAAAACAATTATGCGTACCTGAATAGATATTAATGTTATGCCGTGAGTATTATGACTGGAAATAATAACAGTAATTAGAATTATGGAAGAGTAATTAAGCAGATCAGATATGTAACAATTTAACCAAAGTGTATATCTTTCATATAATACTAATAGGATATTAATTAAATTTAAAAGAGTGCACTTTAAGTCTGAGACACGAAGGTACAAAAAATTACACCACATGTATCTAGTCTATTGTAATAACAATATTTACTTATAAAAGTGTAAAAAGTAAAGTAAAGTTACAGCCACTGCTGGGCTCAGGCCTCCCCTCATTTCTGAGAGAGTTTAGGGCAAGGAAGTATCCGCCGCGCTGCCCAAATGCGTGTTGACGAACTACACATGTCTTCGAAATATTTTTCTTATTCCTCAGACATGCAGGTTACCTAACGATGTTTTCCTTCACCGCCGAGCACGTGGTAAATCAGCACTTAAAATTGCAATAACAATTTCATTGGTGCCGGCGGGGATCGAACCCGGATTACTCTCGCTTTCTGTTATATTTACAGCCAGCGTTAACCACTGAGCAACCACGGCTCTCTAATAGATAAAAGTGTGATTGCTTATAATAATATAATATGTGGGACGTTGACTTAACCATTTGGGAATATAATTATATTTTCTTGTGATACATAATATCATGATAAAAGTTGGTTAGGTTTACATACGTAGGCGTAAATAATTTATTTTTAAACCTGTTTATGACGTTTAAATGCTGCCTGTTATCATCCGGATGTTGTTCATTTGATTCGTGCGATGTCCTGGAGGGATCTGATTGCGATAGCGGGTGAAGTATCCGTCTTGCGAGCCAGAATGGTGCCATGTTTAATCCATACATATTTATATTCGTTTTTCTTAGCAGCCTTCCGGCACTGACGAAACAACAATTTGTTATTCAACGTTAAATGCTCGTTAACGTAAATGGTGGCAGGCTGGCCAGTTACGGACAATGATGTTGAATTTAACCCTTTTGTAGCACGGCAGGCGGCAATCACATTGTCGCGCAGTGTCCTGTTTGCGAATTTTACTATATATAACATTCTTCGGACGTCGATCATTTTTGTCAGCATGAGGTACACGATGAACGGCTATTATGTCAGATGATTGTAAAGGATGCTTAATGGCATTGCCCAAACACTCCATTATGCTGATTAGACTCTCACCTCGCCTGTCGGGGATATTAGCTATTTCGACATTGCACTGTCTTGCTTGCTGTTCCATTGTATGTATTTTGTTTTCAAGTAGTTGTATTTGAGTTTTAAAGCCGTTATATTGTGATAAATTCTGTTCTACAGTTTTCAGTCGACTGTCAAATAAGTCCTGTCGTTCATTTGAGAAGCTAAGTGATTTCTCTATTTCGCATAGTCGGGTGTTAACTTCGTGCAATGATTTATTAAGGTTGATAGTATCCATGTTAAGTTTCAACACATTATCATTAAGTTCTGATAACGCAGAGGTAATCTTTGATAGCTCGCCCTTTAGGGCTGTATTTACCGCAGTGGCAATACTATTTGCGATGCAATCACTAATGGTTTTATTCCATATTTGCATTTGACTATCAAATTTTTCTTCAAATTTAATCATATATGTATCAGTTTTATCGTTTTCCATTTGTTTACGTTTACGGGTAGTTATTAAACTTTCGCCGCTAATCTTCTTTACCAATGCAGGAATATCGCCGTCCGGTGAAAACACATTCGGTTGTGTGCGTTGTGTGGTGGCCATAATTATATTTACTGATAAAATCATAATTTTATATAAAACTAAGGAAACCCTTCACTGCTGGCCGTATGTGGAAGCTCAAAGTCACTCAGCGAGCTACGGAGACCGCTATGCTCGGGGTTTTCTGCATGATAAACATAGAAATAAGGATATTCACAGTAGAACCAGAGAGCCCGACATAGCCCAACGGATTAGTAAACTGAAGTGGAAATGGGCCGGCTATATAATTCGAAGAATCGACAACCGATGAGGGGAAAAGGTTCTCGAGGGACAGCCTCGTACCGGTAGGTGGAGTAGAACCATGCCTTGTGGCACCCTTTGGGGGAGGCCTATGTTCAGCAGCGGACTTGTGAAGGGCTGTAGATAATGAATGAAAATACTAAAAATCACCTTTACCAACGCTGAACTTATGCGGAGTATGATGATTTGCTTACGCATGTAGACACAGGATGCTGTAGTGTGCGTGTATAGTGACGCGATTCGATTTTGCATTTGTAGTGAAGTATACTGTAGTGTGTTTTCCTCGCCTCCCCTGAAAGTGACAGACTTTTTGTTTAGGAATTAACGCGCATGCCCTCTTCAGTTGGTCGAATACACAAAGTAGATAAAGAAAGAATAATATAGCTATCTTATGTTAAACGTCATATGTATAAAGGCTTCAGCCATAAGTATTTTTACAAAAATTTGTTCCCATTTCGTACATATAACTTTTACTGTGGAAGTTGCACAAACGTAGTAACGTAGTGCAAGCTAGTATCAAATAATGAAATTATTATTTTTTGTTGGGCACTTGATCGTCGACGGATTTTTGACCTTGTTTTATCGTTTAACCACTTAGTGTTGTGGGCACCCACCCACAGCACTTTAAGCCATAAATACTTATGACTAGAGACTACTTTTCTATTAAGATGTTTGGCATAATAGGTTCAATATGAAATTTTCTATCCTCTAGTGCAATAAAAAGTCAGTTACTCTATGGTTATTTATTTATAATCTACGTTTATTACGTACGCCATTTTCGTGTGGATGTTATTGTGTTTTGTTGTGTTGATTTTTGGATTTTTCTAGTGTTTTAGTCTAGTGTTTTATTATAAAATTGGTATGATTTTTTTGTGTGAATATAATTTATCTTTTTACGAAAATAATTTCGAGTAATATATAGAAATAATAGTGATTTTAACGCTGCCGACATCCGCTTGGTTCCGTCTTTTGTTATCGAAATACAATAAAGTCTTTTTGTAATGATGTAAAACCTGGGTTTTGTTTTGACCAAAGGATAGAGATTTTATAATGCCAAACTGCTTCATAGAAAAGTAGTCTCTAAATATAAGTTTTAAAGATTTAAAGTGCTGTGGGTGGGTGCGGTCGCATGCGACCGCTCGGGATTTGACGGACCCATGCGACTGCATGGGATTTTATGGGGATTGAAGGATTAAATAATGATTTGAAGTGGATTTCGATGCGTAAAAGTAATTCTATTTTATGTATTAAGTGCCTGAGCGTGTGAACTATTAGAGAAAATGACGAAACTAGTGCTTCGATGTTGATATAAATCTCGTTATTTTGATCGCTTAGACACCTAATGAATTTGCGTGACTGTCGTCATCAATTATCCGATAGGTTGAGCTGTCATCAAAATCTTCGCAATGTGACGCACCATATTGTGAAGAAAAATTTATAAAAACGGCGATCCCGAATGAAAGGAAGTTATGTCTAAAAAGACAAGCATCCAAATCAAAATTCGCAATTAAAAAAGTAATCATATACTTTTTGGTATCATTAAAACGGTTTTGATCAGTTTTGATTTTGAATTTAAAATTTGAGTTTTGGCTGTGTCTTAATAATTAAAAATTGTCTCCAGCTCACCAGTAAAAATCTAAAGATGAGTACAACAGAATCTTGGAGTGGTGGAACTGACGAAGAGTATGAAACTCAACATTTTGGTTTTGGAGCCCAACGTTTTAAAATTGCCGTGCGACAAATGGTGAAAGATAAAATTAGAGAGGGCGTCAAGGAAATGGAATCGTTTTTGCAAGAGGAATTAGATCTCAACGACACTGATAAAGCAGCTTTAACGCAGTCTTGTGATAATTTAATAAATTTGTATTACTCACGTGCGGATCCATCTTTTAAAATTATTGATGATGAAATTGAAAGAATGTTAAAAATTCCCGATAATGTTTTGTTACCAGAAGACGAGATTCAACTACAACAAGTGTCTAAAGAGGAATATAATAACTTGAAAGAAGAAGTAGCATTATTGCGAAAACGTGTTGAACGTGCGGCTTTAATGGAAAGTTTGCTTAATTCTGAATTAGAGGAGCTTGAGTCTGTTGAAAAGGTGTGTGAAGCTGCCAAAAAGGATATGCAGGTGCTGGATTTGCTTGTAGAAAACTTTGGAACAAGTGATAGTGTTAAAGCTATTGCGGATGAAACAGAGTCTCTTTGTGCCAGTGTACCATTTATAAAGGAAAGTGAAAATACAACATTGGACGGTTGAGATATTTTTTTTTAAATTAGTGTCAGTTATATTTGTGCATATATAAGGTTTATATAAACTAAATAAAAAGTTATAGTAATTAAATTACTTATTGTGTTACAGATCCATAAGTATCCCTTATCCCATGATTTACTATATACAAACTATATATAAAAATTATAAGCAAACTGAGTTCAAGCCTCACTTGCACTGAAATTATCAATGTGCTGATTTACCATAAGCTCATTACTATATACCGAAATATTTTAATCTTAGATTATCTAATGACAAACATTACACTTAGAAATCCATACTACTAATAGATAGGCAATTCAAATTTTGTTAAATATAGTGACAGTAAATTTTGATTTTCTCATCACTAGACAAAAAGCATTATTAATAAACAGCATTTTCAGTATTCTGTTAGATAGGAGACTTCAAGAATGCTCTAACTGCCATGATCTAGAGTGAGCTGGTTTGTCCATATTAAAAATTTTAGGCAGGTTCGAAAAATTTTAAAAAAAAATTTTAAAAATTCAATTTAGCCTCATTTGTAAATCAATGCAACTGTTAGTGTCTTGGATAACTACTTAGACCTCACTAAAAAGTGGACAAGACTGGCAAAGATTAGAAATTACTAGGTATGTACATACTATTTCATGTTTACTTGTCATTTACAGTATAATAAAATACAACTTGTACACAAAGGATTGAATAAAACTATTTATATGGATTTAATCACATTGAATTAATTTATTTTTAATTCCCAACGTTTCACCTGCTTTACAGCACCCATAGTCACAGGGGCTAGTTTTTCTATTATTTAGAAGTAAGGCTGAACAACCAATACTCAGTCACCCTTGAGGATGAGGACTAAGATAATGACTTATTACTAGATTTGCGAGGAATAGTATATTCGGCCAAACGCCGAATACCAATTATTCTGTGGACTTCCCGGCTGAATAGCTGAATTATAGGCAATAATATTTCGCCGGGAAGGAAGTGTTTGTGTTTCGGAGAGTATTCTCTGAAACTGCGATTGCCTATGAGAACAAAGGGAATAAACTACCGCCTGAAATTGAAGAAAAATTAGTCTCTCCACAATTATCTTGTACTTTAATTATTCTTTTTTAATTTTTATAATATGGAAGTTGTTGATATAGCCGTGACTACTTTCATGACTACAAAAAAAATTACTATAAAATATATATTTTCATTTTACCAGTTATCTGACTGCAATAAAACCTCTTACTTAAGTATTTGGTATTCAGCTGAATAGTAAAAGTAGCCGAATAGGCCGAATACCGCATAATAGCCTAATATTTATTGCAAGTATACTCATTAATAGTAAAAAGGTTCTCTATATTCACCACACGAAACATATACTCTTTCATCAAAATATTACAAGGGATATCAATATAATAAAGAATCAAATATCAATTTTTTAATTAAAATAAAAAGAGAAAAGAAAATAAAATTTGTAAAAACAAATAAGTACTAGGGAAATTAATTAAGATTAAGTGAAATTAGGTTTTATATATTATTTAGCGTAGTGTTCAAAAATATAAGATTTTAGTTAGTTTTTACATTTAGTAAATACTAAATCTTGTAATTTAGTAACGAGACTAATACTCATAATTTTTTTTAATTGTGGATGTATATTTCTCATAAATAACATTTTAAAGAGGTCATTGTCTCAGTACATTGTGTGATAATATAGTTCAGTGTTTAATTAAGTTTAAAAATTGAAATATTAGCCTACATCAATAAAGTGTTTTAATCTGAAGTTAATCGAATAAATTACAAGTGAAAGTGTTATCTAAATAAAACAACAAGTAACAACTTGGGAATTAAATATCAAAAGGAAGTGACTGTGTTGTAAAGACTAGTGTTCAAAACAATAACATTAATGAACAGAAAACAATGTCACCTAACTAATCATCGGTTTCGAGTAATATGTCAGTGTTATAACTCAAAAATTATGATACAAAAGTGCTGAACTTTGAAATTTATCTAAATTGCCGTTAAATTCAAATCTACCTCCAACCTTAGTATATCTGTATCAAACTTTGATATAAGAAAAATAGAGGATATGACATATGGTCACATGATCTGAAGTCAAATGTTTCTCAAATTAGGCGACGACTCCGCCCACAACAAAATAGTGTTGTACTAATTTTGTAATATTGTCCATCTTATTAAACAAACATATTAAATAAACAAATATTAGATCACTACACTATTGCAATGGGTTAATACTGTAATAACAGTTGTAGTGAGATAGTAGGTAAATAAATCCTATTTTGGACTCAGAATCAGAACAGTAAAATGTTAAAAAGGTAATTGCTTTAAGATATTGTGAAGCAACAGTCAAAAGTGAACGAAGATATCAAGGAAAGAGCATGATATATTGGAACTTTAATTCTTCTTCTAATGTCTCTTTTCGTATTATAGAGTGTGTAAGACGAGCACTGGAATAGAAAATTGAGTTTGAGCTACGAGCTAACATTTTTCCGCACCGACATCAGACTGAACATAGGCATGTAATGCTGCGCTATAGAGACAGAAAAAAGTTTGACAACGCAGAGTTTAACCCATCCATTTTTTCTCCTCTGCAGAGATTAACGAAACCACCACTATAAGTAATGTATTAAGTTTCGTATGAATTTTTATGTCTAGCCCATGCTGTCCCACTTCTGGGCAAAGGACTCCCCCAAGTTTTTCCAAGTGGTCTTGTCCTGCGCCACCTCGAAGTAGCCCTCACGGTATGCGTCCAGGTCGCGTGAATTATAAAAATAAATATTTAAAAACTGTCAAAGTAACAGTCAAGCTAATGTATATTTCGAGGCAAACTTTATAGTGGCTCGGAAGATAGTGAGAGTGTGAGCACTAGTCATCTGCCTCCGCAGCTTGCTTTACGGACATTGATCTGAGCCACCATCAAGTTTTCTTTCAACTATATCTCCACAAACTAGCTCTCGCACCAAACTTCTAGTCCGCCATAAAGATTTGACATTGACATCTTTCTTTTGTCGTAATGGTCGGTTACCAGTTCAAGTTATCATGAACTTAGGGTAGACTGACTTTTTACTATTTATTAAAACATAGGGAACCTGACCATACTCCACCTTTATCTTAATTAATTTAGGGCTTGCGGAGCACGAATTCTTTTATAAATTGTTACTAGTCATCTCTTGTTTTTAATAATAGATATAAAAAATAAAGATTATTTATTTATATCTCCGTAAACTAATTGAATCGAGCAGCCCCTTTCTAACTATATCACCTTTCACACAATCCATGAATCGTTGCATTGGCTATCATCTCTTTTAACTATCCTAATCCTCAATCTTCCACATCACATGTTCATACCATAAGACAACCAATTTCCATGCTTCTCAGACAATCACGGCGGCTGCGCTACTTTCAGACCACCTTCTTATATACTTATTTCTAATTATATCCTATTTGTGTAACACCACAAAATATCAATTTTAAAAACAGTGTTTACAACCTGCAAGTTTTAAAGACTACCACCATTAGCAAGGTTGGTGGTGGATACTGAAGGTAAACGAGAGTGTAAGGATTAAAAATAAATAAAACAACAATAATGTATACTGATAAAAATAATTTATTCTTGACGAAATAATATTAATTTAGTCACAAAATTGCTTTTAAAATGTTCAGCATTTTTATTTCCCATAATATTCATGTCTTTTATCTAAATAAGCAATAATTACTGATTTTATCAGTAGTAATTTATGGGAACTAGAGATGGGCTGAATATGGATTTCACCAAATACGAATATTCGGCCGAATGTTCGGTAAAACTTTTACCGAACTGAATATTCGGCCGAACTTTATTCGGCAGGATCACCTCGGTATCTAACCAATTTATGTCGAAACTAGTTACCGTAAGGCGAAAAAAAAATTCGGCCCATCTCTAATGGGAACTCTTATGTTCACTGTTGGCGCTATAGAAAATTTTTTCATTTTCAAAATATCCCATTAATAATATATATATACAAATGTTATATATTTAAGGATTTTATTTACATATAAAATTTTGTTTTACAATCTTCTCAGTATTTTTTTACAATTTTCATTCTCAATTCGAACTACATCCAGCATTCCGCTTATACATTATTTTTCAAAATGCAAGGATTATATTCTTCTTACCACTGCAGGTTTTATGTGTTCCTGGCCTATATTATCGATCCATTGCTTTAAAGGCCTTCATTCTATGGGAAGCTAAAATAAATATTGTGTATCCTTAAGTACCAACGAAATAATATTAGCCTCATCAAATCTTTTGATGAAAAAGACAATTATGGTAAATTCTTAATTTACACTATTTTTCAAGTTTTTTCCTATCATATCTATGGTATAAAAGTGTAAACAATGAAAATGATTACTTGTTTAATGTTACATGATACTAGTCATTGGAAATTCTAGATAATGGCGAAAAACACGACCTAGAACCCACAGATCAGGATAGTAGCAAATGCTGTCACAGGACATGGTTCTTTTAACAAACATTCGTTTACCATAGGTGTTACTGATAGCCCCCTGTGCAGGGCATGCATGGGAGAGGAAGAAACGGTGGCTCACGTGTTGCTGACATGTCCAGAAGTCGCTTCATACAGGGCTAAACATCTCGGCACGCCGGGATCGCTACCCGAAGTTGCTTGCAACATCAAGGGACTGCTGAGCTTCTTCGGGGAGATATCATGGCATATTATTCCTGCCCACACGCAAAATACGCGCTTAGACGTGGAGTTGCGGAAAACAGCCCGTCGTAAACTAAACTAATGTTACATGATACTAGTCATTGGAAATTCTAGATAATGGCGAAAAACACGACCTAGAACCCAAATTATGAACATGAAACGAAATTTTCACGAAAAATATACATGATAATGGGAAAAAATACAACTAACCTGAAAAAAATAATCCATTTTTACACGAATTTGAATTACATCCATAGATGTCTCTAGTATATATACAGTAATCTATGCATA